TTTTTTTTTAATCGATTAATTTCGATTAATTATACAGGCCGATTGGTCACATACACTTCATATTTAATGTCACTGTTTGCTTATCAAATGTTGTACATTGCCTTTATTGCAAATCACATTATTTCATAATCTCCAATGACCCAAGAAAAAATCCATAAAGACTTAATCAGTCAAAAGGATTTGTTAAATACCAAAGAGAATCCTCACCCCAACTCTCTGTATTTAACCTCCTGAGCCTCCTGTAACTTGTTAAGAACATTTATATAATATAAGCAATTGATAAAGATTTTTATATATCAGTACACTCAAAAGTGATACTTGAGTTATAGCTGAAGTTTGCTGTAGTAAGTTAGACTCTGGCTTCTTATATACCTTAAATACTCCACCTATTTCCTTGCCATAGTTCCTGACTCTGTTATTGGTCATCTGGTAGTTTTGGGGGTTCCCATCCACTATTGCATGTTCTATCATGTTCTGTTGCATTTTTCATATAATAATCCCCTGCAGGGAGAGTGGGAACTCCTTACGATGGCCAAAGCAGGTGCCCTGGAACTCAAAATTCTCACCAACAAAGTCCCTAAAATAGTAGGGAATTGTCATTTGGCTTACCTGTCCATCTCGAGTGGACTGACCTCTTAATACTCCACCACCTGCAGTTGTTAAAAATCATATACTTTCAAGCAATGTCAGAGCAACACCAAACTTCAAGCCCAACTGAACCTTTTTTTTTTTTAAATCATCTAAATACATTACAGGTATACACTGAGTGGCCAGATTATTATGACCACCTGACGTTTGTAGGCAAATTAGCTATAATTTCACGCTGAAGTTGCTAGAGGGCCAGACCATTATAAATAGGGAAGCTGGTTGTTTACCACGACAGTAGAAGTGATTTTTTTCTGAAGATATGGGTAAACAACGCGATTTAACAGTCTTTGAACGTGGGATGATTGTTGGCGTCCGGAGCCATGGAGCGAGTATCAGCAAAACAGCAGAATTCGTTAAATGTTCAAGAGCAGCTGTTGTTAAAGTGTTTAAAGACTGGATTGTCAGCCGAAAATCTGGGTCTGAATGTTCGAATTGTGGCAGTCAGCGACTAGTCAATGTTAGGGCAGAACGGATAGTGGCAAGACTGGTACAAGACAACAGAAGGGCAACAGTGCATCAAATTACTGCAGATCTTAATCAGGGATCCTCTCAAATGATCTCTGAACGCACTGCTTGCCATACACTGCATCGTATGGGATATGGAAGCAGAAGGCCTGTTCGAACACCTTTGCTGTCTGCAGCTAACAAGATAAAACGTCTCCAATTCGCACAGGAACACAAGGATTAGACAGTCGAGCATTGGAAAAAAGTCATGTGGTCCGATGAATCACGTTTCCGGTTGCATCATGCAGATGGCAGAGTGAGAATTTGGCTGGAACAGCATGAAAGCATGCACCCAACATGCATGAGTAAAACCCTTCAAGCTGGTGGGGGCAGTGTTATGGTTTGGGGCATGTTTTCTTGGCATAATTTGGGCCCTTTCGTGTGGAACAATGTCTGAATAGCACAACATACCAAAGTATCGTTGCTGATCAAGTTCATCCTATCATGTTGATGGCGTGTCCCAATGGAGATGGCTTCTTCCAACAGGACAATGCGCCATGCCATGATGCTCGTATTGTGCAGGAGTGGTTTCAAGAACATGAGGGAGACTTTACCTTGCTTAGGTGGCCCCCACAATCACCAGATCTCAATCCAATTGAGCATTTGTGGGACGAAGTTGAAAGAGCCATCAGGCAGCTGGTTCCACAACCATCAAATCTCACAGAACTGGACAGTGCTATTCATCAGGCATGGTGTCAGATTCCTCGCATCACCTTTCAACATCTCGTGGAGTCAATGCCAAGAAGAATCGCCACAGTATTGAAGGCAAAAGGTGGCCCAACATAGTACTGATGGGGTGGTCATAATAATCTGGCCACTCAGTGTATAAAAACAAAAGGTGTGCATATTCTTACAGATTGTCGACTCAGCAGCTGCAGAGTGGGATCCTTGCTCTGTGTGGGGCCATACCTATAGCTCTGCAATAAACAAAACTCGTTCTCCCTGTTCATTGGAGAGCTCTGACTCAGGCATGCCAAGTAGAAGGGTCCCAATTTGCAGAATGCTGGCAGGGGGCATGGTTTTCTACTCAGGCTGTAGCTGGTTTTTAAAGGAAAACTAATTATTAGACTTTGCACATCATCTGTTTTGATACTCCTGGGATGCATTTCGAGATAATTTAAACTGAAAGTTCAGTTGGGCCTTAAAAGCTATACTATGTTCCGTAAATACTTAAAATGCACAAAATGCACATAGCTAATTAAAACCAGGTCCCTATCAATGGATTGAATTTAGTATATATTGGGAAAATATTTTCTTAAGTTAAAACAGGCTTGCCTATCTCTACTGTATCCTGGTTCTAGCCAGAAGAAAACAAAGTTTATGTTAGTAAAGCTAATGACCCATTAATTCACAATATCTTGGTCAATTTCTCCATCTTTCCATCACCTCCTTTATAGTAAAGACATATGGTCCCTCTAAACTTAGCCAAGACAATTGATTTGAACTGACAGCAAGTTGCCACCATCAAAAATGACGTACATTCTAAATTTTTTATGTCAACACTATAGAATTGTGTTCATTATTGATCTGCATACTAAAGTACACTAACGTTTTCTATGGTACCACATCAGCTCTTTGAGACCCTCTATGTTTGGCAATTACATCCCTGCACAGCCCTGTCAGGCAGACCAGGAGACCTGATTGTTCTCTGCAGAAGTTAAGTAACATTAAGTTACACACATACACATGCAGAATCACAAACATACACTAATTAGGTTAAATTTGATGGACCTGTGTCTTTATTCGACCTCAAATACTATATAACTATGTAACATCCATTTTGTTGGTATAGCTATACCATAAAACATTGGTAGTTGTAAAATATTAACAAATATTAAAAGTGGCGAGTACCAAAATATGATAAAACAGCCCATAGACCACAGTTGAACATAATGGAAATGTAGATTTACAGGGTGTGTGTTATCAAGAAGAAAAAGTGTTGCCAGTGTCCAGGTTAATGTTACATTACAATACTGTATTCTGTATAGATGCATACAGTATAATATGATGATATCATCCTGCAGACACAGAACAGTCAGGAGCTCTTGGTTCTGTGCACCTTTTTGGGTGGACACATACACATACATAGGTGTGAATGAGGCCTCATAGTTTCCCTTAAAACCACACTAAACTGCAGGGCATAAATGAGAACCAGCCACATAGGAATAGGTGGGTATTCTACTCGAAATACATTTTCATGAAGTTCCATTCATGTGTTTTACTAAAGAAAAAAAGAGAAGTGCCAATACATCCTAAACGATATCTAAATTGCTTTCTTCTACTCTATGACAAGATCACCTGCACATACAGTATAATACATTGAGACATGGGTTAGCAGATACTTACAGGGTTATTCACAAAAGGGTGAAGAGTTTGGAGAAGGCAGGAGAAGTTAACAATCTAGGACAACATAGCTGATTTGGAAAGATTCTCCAATTCAGCTCGCTTTCCAGTTCAGCGATGTTGTCCTAAACTGTTCACTTCTCCTGCCTTCTCCAAACTCTTCACCCTTTTGTGAATAACCCTGTTAGAATGGTTATAGAACAGGATAACCCATAGGAGACAAAAAGTCAAGTACACAACAGTATCCAGAGAGCAACCAAGTAAATTAAAATTGAGGCAAATATAAAAGACACAATTAATACAACTCTATATGCATTAATACATTGTTAAATGTATGTCTTTACATGGTAGCAGTCTAAATACCTGAATTTGACTTTCTATCAGATTCTTTTAGTCCCTTTCATCAGGACTAAGACTAGGAGAGGAGGAGCAGCACAAGGAGCCAATTAGAGTGACAGAGATGAGTCCCTCATTCTGCTGATTCTTTGTTCACTGTCCAGTCATATGGCAAGGGAAGGACAAGACCTGTAACTGTTACTTAACGTCTGCAGAGAACAATCAGGCCTCCTTGTCTGCCTGACAGGGCTGTGCAAATCTCAGGGCTCGATGGACAGAAATACAAATCCTTTGGCAGGTAAAATAGCCTGCAAAAGGTATTTCATCTCTGTATTTAGCCATTTGCCTGAAGTTCAGATTTAAATCAATCTGACATTAAAGGAAAGCTTGCATTAAGAAACAAGAAGGTTGCAATTGCTGACCACACTATCTAAATTTTCCAGTTGCCTGGCTGTCATATTGATCCTTTTGCTTTAATACTTTGAAACAGAGGGTAAGCATGCATTGTGGGGGGAAAAGGCTAGAAATCAGGATCTGAACAACAAAACAGCATAAAAAAGCATTCAATACTTTGAGTAACATTTGTGCAGATAAAGACCTTTTCTGACATTCCTAATCTTCGTGTTCTGGATCAGTCACTCAAAGTTTTAAAAACCAGAAGATCTGGATAAATGCCAGGTAACTGGCATTTTCAGATGGATGTCAGCAATGGCAGACCCATATTTCTTTTATAACAGGTTTGTTTGAAATTAAGCAGTTCAAATAAATGCCAGTACAGTCTAAAGATATTTTGATTCCAAAAAGCCGTCATTTCTAACCTCTTGCTGCCAACAGGAGCCGACTCTTTAAGTGGGCAGTGATGCTGAGGGCCAGTAGGAGGGTCTCCTGTTCATTTGGTCACTATGATTGGCTGCACAGTGATGATGTAATCAGGAGTCCTACAGGCACCTGATCATGAGCTGCTGGTGACAGCTTGGTCAGAGTTCTGGGGCGCTATATGAACATACCCTAGAACAGCACAGCTCACCTATATGTGGCAGCTTGGCATTAGGGACCCACCCGCCGTGCTGCTGAATATGCGCGTTAGGTTGCCATAAAAGGGTTAAACATCACAAATGTTTTATAAACAGAAAACTTGAGTATTCAGAGGTTGCTATGATATTAAGCACTCTCACCTGAAGCATAGTTGATAATATCTACTCCCAGGGCCGGGCTCTTCCTCTTCCTGGGTCTCCCCTTTTGCACTGCACCCGTTCCATTGGTGAAATATGGAAGCGCAGATAGCCCACCTCCTTTGGCAGAGAGCTCAGTGTAATTAAGCTGTGGGTGGAAATCTCCCTGAACCAATAGCTCAAAGTGAGCACGGCAGTAGACTAGGTTTTCCTTCATGCCAAAATGATCTCCTGTACTCAGGGTCTTGTTACAAGTGGTGCACGTGAAGCAGCTTAGGTGATAGACCGACTCTCTCGCTCTCATAACCATTTCTGAAGCTGAGATACCAAGGTGGCAACGAGCACACCTCTGGACCGAAAACCTTCTGGAGAAAAACAGAGCATTGGTTGACAATAGATCAATATAAACATATTTTTATTATACAAAAATGTGTTTGCCCCTAGTATACTAACTTGTTCCTTTCCCAATAAATAGACATAAAGCATTTGCATATTATATCTCAAAATAAAATACAGTACATTAAGCCCACCTCCATCAATATTATTTCTGTACACATAAACATACCATTCATATTAGCTGTTCTCTGAATCAATAGTACTTATCAGTATGCATAACATACAGCAGCATACTAAGATACAACTGAGCCATATGGCAGTTTGAATTGTTTCCGATAACATTGAAGGGGCTCAATTCACAAAGCTAACACACCATAATAACAATCTTTATATTCAAAAAATAGCAGTTCTTCTCACTGGACTCAATGAAAATTGAAAATTAAAGTCCCGTGGCTTTAAAAAAAGATCCTTATTCTTGTGCTAAAGCTTTGTACATTGAGCATAAAAGCTCAATTCACAAAGCTTTAGCACTAGAATAAGGATCTTTATTTTCAGCCATGTGGCTGTAATTCTTAAATCTCATTGGATGCAGCTAAAAATGATTGTCACTTTTTTTTTTAACAAAAGAATACAGATCCTCGCGTGTTAGCTTTCTGAATTAAGCCCATCTCTTAAATGTCTTTTAGTGCCTGAGACTGTAATGGAAAATATAACAGTATACAAAAATGTCATTAATTACAGCTAAATAAGAAAAAAATATATGCAATGTAGATGTTGCCTGTGGAATTATTGGCAACCTGCCACATTCAAAGCTGTTGCTCAACTAAAATATCCTGAAAAGTATTGATTAAAATACTAAAAATATGTTTCATGCTACATGTCAGTGCAAAACACTGCGTACTTCATGACATTTATACGAAGAGATTGTTTTTACTGCTACAATATTGTACTATATTACAGGAAATTAAAATCTCTCAGGACCAAGTATACTATAAACTAGAGGATAGCAAGGGTTCTCTAAATAAAAAAACATTGTTAAGTCTGAAAAAAATTATCAGCATTATAAAAAAAAAAAAAATGTATTCTACAAAAAGTTATGGAATGGTTCACACTATGTGCGGGGACTGGCATTTTTCTTTACCTAATCATCGTCAAGGAATGCAAGGGCTCACAGGAAACAATTGTTTTCTATGTTCCCCCTCATTACCACAATGGAGTGGAGAGGTGTGGAAAAATACAGAATGCCACTATGTGATATTAAATAAAATTAAAGGAACTGGTAAACTGCGAGATATTGTGTTTTACAAAATTAAGCATAATCTTGGGAAGAAGTCCATCCAAGCATGTTCTTCTGCGCAGATAATGTGCAGCTCTGGGGTTTGCTCATGTGCCTCTGGCCAACTATCACAGTTTGTTATTGTTTATACGTTACCATGGCTTCAGCAACAAGAGTGTTAGGTGGCATAAAGATGCCCACGTTGCTAAAGCCAACGCAATGGTTAAACATAAGCAAGCCACACCCGATCTTGCTGGGAGCAACACCGCTGAGCTGCACACTGAACCAAGAAGAAAAAGCCAGCCACATATGACACATTGTTTTAGAAATGGCAGTGCAGGTTTCCACATTCGGGGTAGATGGAGCAATGAGATTATGGAAGATTGACACTAAAGGGACAAGTAGCAATAATAATATTGATTTGTTTTTATATATTAATTTAAGTGATGTTGGCGGTTTAGTAAAAGGGGAGGTGTCTGCTTTAAACGCTTCAGAGTCATTTTTATAACAATTTTTTTCTTTAGAATTTTATGATTGGTCGGTAGAGGTTGATTCAGTGGCATCACAAGGGGGTGCCACCATTGGAGGGGTGACACCAAAATGACTAAAAGTCATTTTGGTGTCACCCCTGATGAAATGTCGGGCACTCAGTCATGGACCGAGATCCCGAACAGTGTCAGGAGAGAGAAGGGGACCCAGCCTCGGGATGCCACTGGGTTGATTTACTAAAGGCAAATAGGCTATTATTTTTGTAATGGAATTTTCGCCTTAGCTTAGTGAATGTGGTGAAAATTCACCTTGCGAAAAATACCCAATCACATGCAAGACAATTAAAAAAAACAGTATCTGTGCTTGCATGTTGGAAGTCAGCAGAGCTTCACCTCATTCACTAAGCTTAGGGAAAATTGCCTGCAAAGTGAACAGCCTATTTGCCTTTAGTAAATCAATACCTACTGATCATTGTCAAGCATGACTCTCTATAATTAAATTAAATAACTTTATGTCAAAATGTACTTTTTTTCCAAGATGTGCACACGTGTTTAGTTATTTGGCATTTTATTTTATTTAAATGAAATACAAATGAAAAATATTTTCTGTTTCTCTTGGCACACATTTTTGACATTGCCCTTATTTCCTGAAAATAATTAAAATGAATGTCTTTTCTCTGTTCCTTGATTTCAGGCACTATAGGTATCTGCCCAGAGTAAAGACATGCACAGTTTATGCACACATATTTCAAAGGGAAGATATGAGCATGCATGTTTATGCACACATCATTGGTGGGAAAGATTGTCAGTCAGATGATGTATGCACAATCTGACCCATGTACAAACAGAGTGAATATATGAAGATAGGACTTTGACGTGCTCAGTGTGTAACCCTTGCAAATGGAATGGGAGCACAGAAATGAGACATGTTGAAATTGATAGACACACCCCAATCTGTTCTTCTCAATGGGGTTAATCTACTGAAGGAATAGAGGCTGTTCACTTAGCAAAGTGAATGTTAACTTGGAAAAGGAAGTTTTAATGAATACGATGAAGTTGTGTTCACTTTGAATACCCAATTATGTGCTTTAAAAATGTTTTTTTCCATTTCCCTCGTGTTGGATTGGGTATTCAAAGTGAACACAGGTTTACATCATTCACTAACTACATGTTTAAAAGTAAACCTTCTCTTTGCTTAGTGAACACTACGAGGGTTATTCACAAAGCTAGCCGAAGGATCAGCCGTAGCTCCAGCATATGCCTCGACTCCACTGAGCCGAAGTGACAGCCAAAGCGGGCCGAGCAACTGACAGCTGGACGGAGCCAGCCGTGATCTCATGGCTGGCTCCAGCCAGTTGCAATGACAGATCAGCATCCCCAGGTTACCTGGGCACACTGAACTGTCATTACACAATGACAACTTGGCAGAGCAGGCCAGATCTGTCATTGCAACTGGCCTGAGCCAGCCGTGAGATCACGGCAGGCTCCGCCAAGTTGTTATTCATTGGTCGGGACCAGCTAGAAGACTCTAGTCCCGGCTAATAGGAAACAGTTGGGGCGGAGTTAGCTGTCACTGCTAGCTCCGCCCATTAGTTTATTTCTTTTTTTAAATATGTTTTTTTTCTTTATGCAATACCTTTTTTTGTTTGTTTTTTATCTTTATATTTATTTTTTAGGAGTTATCATTTATTCACCTTTATTAACATTTTATTAATTTTTTTCCTACTTTTTCCACTGATTTTCTATTCCGCTCGGTACCACGGAGGTACCGAGCAGAATAGCCAAGCCGCATGCCGCATTCAGCTAGCCATTCACTCCCGTTCGGCCCCTATGAGAATAGGCCGAACGGTTCGGTTCGGCTCGGCCAATACAGTTCGGTTCGGCTCGGCCAATACAGATGTTGGATCAGCTGATTCGAACTCCTTCTGCACTTCGGCTCAGCCAAACATGCTGAGCATGTTCGGCTGAACCGTAGCAATCCGATGTATGGCTGATTTCAGCCGTACAAGCCTGAAGTAAATAGCCGAACAGCTTCACTTCAGGTCGGTTATTCACTCGGCTGCCTTCGGCAGCTTTGTGAATAACACTCTACATATTTAGTAAATCAACTCAGTGGATTTTAAATGCAGTTGTCTTTTCAAGAAAGATATGGCCTTTGCTTTTTCCTATATTTTGTAGAACAGGTTTGCAGCAAGATGACACTTGTGAGCTATTTATGCACTCATAGACCTCTGAGATCTAGCCTTTGCTGACCTGAGAGTAGTTATAACCCTTACATGTAAAACTCTGCAAGGGTATACAGATATAACATAGCCACAGATCCTTCTAATTGCCACTTCCCAACCACCTCCTCTTTACATTTCAGGTAGTCAAGTGCAGACCATTGGATTTTCAGCACTGACATGCTTGTTATACGTATCTCTAATTTGAAGTGTATTTTTGTTGATGGTTATACAGAGGCCAGAATCTCCCAGTAACTAACACTTGCTTTGCTATAAATTAAGGCTTATAGGAATCAGAATACACCCATGAGAGTCAAGCATTTCATTTGTGTTTTGGCAAACTACGTGTTATAGTAATGTACAACTTTAAGGGAGCAAGGCATGTAATAGGAACACCATAATGCAGAATATCTAATCGTATTAGAGAGATATGACTGTATGGCTGTCCCCACTGTATATGAACAAGGAGACACCAATGTGGAACAACACTGGAATGAGATCAGGTAAACATGAGTTAAAACTGAACTCCAACTTATGGGCTTTTAGATAAAGGCTAACCCCATGGAATCACTCCTTAAACTCTCCTCCATGACCCTCCCCAAGAGCCAAATAAAACTCCTACTACATCTCCTTACCATGGCCAAACAAATGATAGATAGAGCCTGGCTGTCTAATTCGCTTTCAGTTACTGAGGAAACAACTAGACTACATACTATGTTTGCCAAAGAAAAGCTCACAGCTAGACTCATAGATGGCACAAAATATGGGATCCATGGATTAATCTAACTCAACCACTTTTAACCATTGTTGTGTATCACATTGCCATTATAGATGAACCCAGGACGACCCACCCCTATACCCTTAGCCCCCCCTCCAACTCCCTTTTTTACTTTACTTTACTCCGGTTCTACTTCTTATCTTCTCTTCTATTTTTTCTTTGAGGATCTCCATGGTATTCATTACATGGCTGTTGTTATGTTAGTATCTGCTATAACCTGTCTGGACTTCTTTTAATCACTAAACATGTCAATAATGTCAACACTTTGATTATTAGTTGATCTATCAACGGCTCTCACTTATATACCTATATTGTATGTTCTTTAAAAATCCGATAAAAACTTTTGAATATTAAAACTGAACTCCAGGCAAACAGATGAATACACAACTGTAATGCATATATGGAATATATTTTTCCTGCCAAAGGATCTAGAATACTATTCAGTAAGTTTTGTGACCTAGCTCCCCTACCAGACAGCATAACAAGGTCTGGGAACTTATTGCAGCCACACCACTACAGAAGGGTCAGAACCCCAGCTTGCTGAATGGACAATGAAAAGAAGAGAAGCACAATGATAAGGTCATCTTTCTGCTCCCTCCTTCTGTCAGCATTTTCTTTGTCAGCACATTCTCACTGCACTAAGGCCACAATGGTTCCTAGTGCTGGTCCTACCTCTACTAATAAAAGTGTATCTTTTTCTTTTTGGATAGAGTAGGGAAGAGGTTAGAACCTCTGTCAAGTTATTACTGCTTTCTGTGTCTTGGCTAAGTCTTGGCTAAGTAGATTCACTCATCTATTTGTCCAGTTGGCTTTTGTTCCTGAGCAGAAAATTATGGGAAATCCAGAATATAACAGTTGTGCCCAGAACATGAATAGAGGGTAAATCTTCCAATGGGGACACTTATCCTGGAGCCAACTGTTAATTTGTTTGTAGAGATTTAATTTCACTTACTGTTCCGTATCCATGACAGAAAGGGACCTGTCACAGTTTTTAAACCTTTCCTAATCTATCCAAAACTGAAAAAAAAAGTTTGGGTATATTTTTTCTCTGTGAATACGACATTTATTGGTGTTTTTTAATATCTCCCTGAAGTTTAGTCTTATATATAATAGATGATGACAAGCCAATCTAAGTATGAACAGAAAAACACTAGCAAAATCATCTCAGTATAATGGTTTAAATTAGACAACCTTTACATGGCTTTCTGCTTATGGAACATGCATATGAATTGCCAGTTAGGAGAGACAGGCACTGAGCACCTGCTGCAAGGCTGCTGTAAGCAGATTTAATGGCGGTTTTGCTCCAGGTACTCCAAAGACATGCTGGGAAGTTAATTGGCCCCTGTATGTATGCATATGAGATAGGGACCTTAGATTGTAAGCTCCATGGGTGCAGGGACTGATGGGAATGTGCAGTATGTAAAGCGTTGTGTAAATTGTCGGTGCTACATATACAACCTGTAATAAATGAATGGTAGCTGGGTGTTATACATTAGATTCCAGGAACTGGTAGGTGCCGCTGTTTTAGTTTAAAGCGTATTGTCATATATTTGGTGGCTTGTGGCAACATGGATTTGTGCACACAAACTGCAGAACATATTTTATACAGGTAGCTTACCACTTATCCTGGCCTGGGGATGGAGATACAAAAATACTCTAGTTTTCACATGATAATCTTATCTGAAAGCGTGTTATATTTCATAATGTACCTGTAATAATCTTCTTTACAGTATATACTCCCATCTTTTGCGAAGCAAGTCAGTTCTGACTCCAAGGCCAGTTTACATTCACAGCATTTCAGGCAGCGTAGATGCCACTGCTTGTCTACAGCCAAGAGGTAATATCTGTCAGAAATTTTTCCTCCACATCCCGCACACAGAGTGGGCTTCTCCGGGCTGAGTGGTGGCATTCTCTGTGGTCAGAATAAAAGGAAGAGTTAATGTACAGGCAATGAACAATGGCAAACAATGAAAATAACAGCATCTATGCTAGTGTGAATTATTTCTATAGGTACTATCGCCACATTTAGCACGTACGCCATACTGGCAATGAATGGATAGCTTAATTACAGCGTTGATGTAGGATAGATGTCTCACTTTATCTACCATTATATTATTAGTAAAAATGTATGTGAGTGCTAAAAAAATGTGAGTGCTAAAAAAATGAAGCCACTGTTTATAACATGGAAATACAGTGGGGTTGTTTTATTAACGAAACATAGGCTATTCACTTACCAAATTGAATTTTAGCAAATAGGTTGGACTTGTGCTCTATGTGAATTCCCACAAATGTGTGAGGGAAATTAAAAGAAAAGAAAAACTATTACGATTTTAGCCAGGTCATGATTGGTTGATTGCAGTGAAAACAGCTTCACCTTATTTACTAAGTTCAATAAGCATTTACATTTCTAAGTGCACAGCCTCTACTCCAATTGTGAATTAAGTTCAGTGTCATGATTTGTATATAACGAAAGGCTGCAGGTTGAAGTCAGCACAGAGTTGCATGCCAGTGACTAGATGGACCATTGACACTCCAAACTGCAAACTTGCATGAGGTCTAGGAGCATTTTTTGTTCATGCAATTATCTTATGTGTATTCTTAAATGACTATTTTTAAAAACGTTCAGAGGCTTAACCTTATATGATCATGTATTGGACTTTAGACATCTATATATCTTTCGGAAGTGTTGGCATGGTACAGACTGAATTCTGGGAAACTAGGAATTTGAGAAGTGGAACCAATTTTCTTATGCCATTTGTGTCAGTGTCTGCTATCTACTCTTGTAACTGAGAAAAGGTTATCCCCGTAGAGGAGGGTAGCTTTAGAGTAAGACCAAGGCAGCCTTGCATGCACCCTTGTGACTTACTGACTGACGTTGTTGACTTGTTTTCTCTTTTTGTACCCCTGGCACTGCCTTTTGTTGCCCAGTATGAATTTTATGCTGCAGCAGGAGTTGAGGTGAAAGGTAATATTAATTATACATGCAGTTTTCATATACTGTATACTTGAGTGTACTTAGCAAAAGCAGCACCATGCATGGACACATTAAGTGGAGAGAGGGCTGAATCTGTAATACTCCCAAGTTCTTGCTATGGCCTCTAATGGCCACTACAGGAAAAACAGACAGCAGGAGACACCTTGAACCAAAACTAATGGCATCATTCAAAGAATGAAAGCAATTTATTTGCTAATATTATATGTTGTTATTGTATGTTGTTATAATATGTAGGGGGACCGTATGGATGTTTCACAATAAATTGTTCCTAAATAGACATCTCCTCTTCACCTTGACAAACACAACCTACAGGGTCTCAAAATGGTGGATGTCTGTAGTGTACAGCCTGTTTGTTTTTAGTGTCTGTAATGCCGGTGGTCGTTCATGTATAGTGAATTATTTTTTTACTTACTGCTTTTATTAAGTTTAAGAGATTAACCCTTTAGAATTGTTGACTGAAATACATAAGATGGGTAAAGTAAGACAGTCACCTATGTAACATTAATTGTATCTTGCCTTATATCACTATATATTGCTTTATGGCTTTTATCATCACTAATGAATAGTAGCGTCCCTTCCATCTTCTAAAACATCACTCATTTTGCTTTCATTCATGATATGAATAAGGTGTAAGGGGGCATTATCATGATCTGTGCTTCATGTGTAATATTCATACATCTACATTTCAGCTTTTTACTGCACTGCTTTTTGCATGCGCATAAAAGAAGTTAACAGCGTGAAGTGAGCCTGGATGGTATAAAAGCAGCTAACATTAAATGAAAGGCTGATTAAAAATTCCTGGCATCTCCATGAAAGTTTAAAAGGAAAGTCATTTTGCAGACAAAGAAGGTTCAGCAACCCTTTGTTATACCAGAAACATTGCATTAAATGTTACATTTTACTTCTAGATGCTCATTTAATTGAGCCAATGCCATTAATTTAATTTAGCCAGAAGAGACTGTAACAGTGAGCATTTATAACCAAGAAGGCAGCATGTGATTGGATGTGAGTGCTACTCTTCAGCTGAGAACACCTGCTGCTCTAATGAACACAACATATAATGTAACTGGCCAGTAACTGTTGATTTGTATTTTGAAATCAAGTATTTGTTTAGAGACATTTGCGGTCATTTTTTCAACATCTATGATTTTACATAGGTCAAACCAAAATTGGGTTTTCTGTGGTGCCAAACAAGCATCCACTGGCCATTACCATTTGAAGAATGGACAGGTCAATATTTGATCCTGTAGACCAGGGGTGTCAAACTCAATTTAATTGTGGGCCGCATCAACATTATGGTTGCCCTCAAAGGTATCTGTAAGACTATATAAATGTATCTAATCTTTATCATAATTGCCTCTGCATTCGATTATCACTGGTTTTAGTAATAACCTAATACCTAGATCTGAAAGTAGAAGTCTAGGAAATGGCCTGGTGGGCCAGATTCGGCCCCTGGGCCTTGAGTTTGACACATGTGCTGTAGACTATACTTTCCCATTATAAAGGATTATTTTGTTTTCAAATGGTATATTAGAGGATATATACAAATGGTATATAATATGTGTATACAGGTATATAAATTATAGCAACTATAGGACCAGATTACAAATCTTTGCCCTCAGGCCTTTATTACCACCTAAGGCCTAGCTACAACACATTTGGTATCATCATATAAAATAAATAACTGTATTATACTGTATATGTAATTAAAAGTCAATTATTTTGTTTCAAGCTTATATGTGTAAGAAAATGTATAATTTGTTGAAACATGGAGTAATTTGCCACCCCTGGAATTTAGAAGACTTAGGCCCTGATCCCATGTGGCCTCCTCAGAATTCTGGATTCCCGCCTTTGTACTAATATAGGACTGATGTTATGAACAGAACAGACGGAAATTACAATCTATAGACTCCGCAAAGAGCAAACGGGTTGTCATCAATGGTTTTGGCAATAGAAATAGAGCTATGCTCTTTATATGTAAACATTCTAATTATAAAATACACATAAATTATTATTAAACAGTTTTTAAGACATAAATAAAACTTAAACTGGCTATATGCTGCATATTTCTATTCACAGATAGGTTTTTTTGGAAACACTGATAACTACTCCCAGAGAAGTGAGATCACATCATATGTGGGTTCCCAGGTGCTTATTAAAATGCTCATATTGGAAGCAATAAATATATATAATCACAAATGCCCATTTAAAATAAAGATTTGATTTGTTTTCGGTATTTCCTTATCAACCAAATTACCATATTGTTTACTTTAAGTTTTATAACATCTTACATTATTCATGAATTGAGGGGACCTTTGTAAAATATTTCACTACCACGGACACAAATATTTCTATGACGCTCATATTTGGTCTTCATTCACAAAACAAAATAAAAATTGCATTGGAGCTCCATTACATTTACAGGACAAGGGTCTGTTTAACTAGCTCCAGAATTATGAAAAATAAAATCCTGCTGTATAAAACACAATGTTGTGTGTTTACTTGTAAACCGTGGAGTCCTTTCTTCACCCTTGAACTGTTATTTAGCTAACTTCAACCCACACAGTGTATTTCATTAGTACCAAACTTCCCTAGTGCTGAGGAAATATGGATTGAATTTGAACATTTTGTTATATTTGCGACACTATCCCTAATGCTGACTCCAACAGCTTCTACCTTAACCCTAAAATAAAATGTATTACAGCTCTGACTGTAGACTCTGATTAAATTCTTAGTGTTAATCAACAAGAATTTTTTTATTTTCATACTTGAACCACTGTCTGTTTCATTAATAATCCAGCTAGAAACCTTTTCCACAAGGTTAACTGATACTGTCCAACACCTACTGAAAATTGTAGAATGATAAATGTGCATAGCTAATGCAGTGTTTTTGTGCAGCATATGTGCAGTAAAGTAAAAGCAAAAGTCTTATGTACTAAAAAAACTAGCATGTTTTTGGTTTTTGGTTTTTATGACTTAAGGGTAAATTTAAAAAATCTGCCTATGTTGGAGTAGGCCATAAGGACCTTTGTGATATTTTTTTGAACCAATACCTTTGGCAATAAACAAATATTTTGGTGCCAGAATTTTGGGTATTATGATTTGGTTTACTGTGTTCCAAACTATTTTTTACTGTATAATTTTGGCATTGTTATTGGCTTGATATTACAGTTTTATCAAGATAATGTTTGTCACTGTGACAGTATTAGTAAAGTAGAAGGTTATTGGGTTAGGTTAACTTGAACGGTTAGGTTTAGGGGTAGTTTCAGGTTAATGTTAGGCTTTTGGGGCTATAGTTACGCTTAGTTTTAGTGATAGGGCCTGAGTTAGGTACAGACTCTAGGCTGCCCCGTAGGATACATTTTGGGTGTAGTTTTACTTTCATTTGTACAATATGTTTATGTGTGTGAAAATATTTAGTTATAAAAATATTTTGGAGGTTGATGAACTTAAAATTTAACTTTTACACTGATCAGTAATAATGAGATCAAGTTCAGGCAACATTTTAGATATTTGTTTCCTAAATTGTTTCGAATGACAAACATTCATTGGATCCACAAAAAGAGAATGCTTTACTAATTCATTCCATTAAATTACAGCTACAGTACAAGTGAATGAAAAAATAAAACAGTTTACCCAGAGTACCAGACCCAGAATGAATTAGAATAAATTAATTAATTAGTGACTCTCAAAGAAGGCAACCCCCAGCTGCTTTTACAAGGCATAAAGTTCAAGTGAACCCTTCTGTGTCTTTCTATCTTCTTGCGACCTAGGTGTTCATTTAGTAAAGGACTACAAGGCCAACAAATCTTTGCTCTCTTCAAACACCAATTTTAGTTAGAAATTAGGTTTAAAAAAAAAATACTTGCAAACTGATTGGCTGCTTAAAATTATTATAGTTGTATATGTGCAATGTGCGCCTTGCATAACTATTCATATCTTTGTCATTTGAAAATATTTTATATTTGTAGGACACCCTTCAATCAAACATATCCCTTACATTAAAAGTTTAGCTTTATTGGCTTATCCGTAAGAACAGTACATCTCGATATATATAGATATATCTATATCTATATAGATATATCTATATATATACATATTTATATGTATATTTATATACAGTATATCTATAAATATATTTATATCTATCTCGCTCTCTCTCTCTGTATATCTATCTATCTATCTATCTATCTATCTATCTATCTATTTATCGATAGATCGATAGATAACATGTATCAAGCCAACCTCGGTGAGCTTGCTTCCGTTATAATTGTACATATTTGCACTTAAAGTAAAGCTGCCACATAGAAAGTGAGTTCACTGCACTGTGGAGCAAACTGAAGCAATGTGCACTTGTATTTTATTTTTAAAAGTAGTGCTGCTAATGCTAAGTAATCAGCAGTGGAAAACATTGATTTTGTCACCCACTTATAATATTTTGGAGTCTATGGTAGAAAGCTGCAGAGAGTCAGCAGATGTGTATACTGCTCAATATCTTTAGAGAGGAGATACATATTCAAATTAGTGTGTTGTGCATTGCATTTACATTTACACATCGAAGGACTAGGCAAACGACACTACTCTGACCGGTTATAAGACTGCTGGATGTCCAATCAACCTTTTCTTGGAGACGGCTTTCCCTTAACTAAATCTGGCACCTGAAGCAAACAGAATTCACCAAACTGGAGAAAAACTTGCACCATTTAGTATACCTTAACAATGTAGATCAAACATGTCAAAGTCGCCTGACACAGGAAAAAACACTGACTTCAGAAGATAATACTCAGAAGGCTACTTTTGCTTTTAAGTATGTGATTCCCATAGTTGTTAAGTCTTACATCAGCTATGGAGAGATATCTTTATTCACAATCGAAAGCTCAGAAGTATTCAACAATTGTAGGCTATTCACTGTACAATGTTCTCATAGTTTTGTAAAAAAAGCAAACATTGAATTTAAATATTAACATGCCTATTTGCTCTTGTCATATATACGACAATCTCTCTGAGATTATACAGTGTTTTAAATGTCCAACATTCAGTTTCACTTAAAAGCAATGGAAAAATATTTTCACTCAGCAAGACCATAGCAAGGCAATAGAGGTCAATGTAAAAGTGGGATGGAGGAAACACCTATATAATAGCAAACATCTACTAACAAAGGGTGGCCAAATGTGGTCTTCTAAAACACTGGGTTGAAAACCTTGGTTCACATTTTAAACTTTTATTGTGACATTAAAATGAAAGGTCATATAAACACAATTATAGATAATTTAAAGAGTTTAAAGGCAAGGCGGTAAAATATTCACATACAAAATATGTTGAAGTTATGAAGGTATGATATTTCAAAAGAACTAAGGCATATCATGTGCGCGCACACACACTCACATGCAGTAAAAGAAAAAAACTGTATTGAAAAGTGTATTAAAATGTGTTAATATAACATAGTGACATTGTTTTAAATTGTTCATTCTACAGGTTAATGTTTTTTAGTAAAATAGCAGTCTTTTGTTTTTAGGCTGTAAAATTCATGTGACTTTATAAATGTACAATAAATATTTATTTATTTTAAATGGGACAGGCAATATGAATGTGCTTGCTTTTGTTAAACCCTTCAACATATTCTTTCTTTTTTATAAGTACTACCATTTTGTTATGTATGATGTGCTTGTCAGCTAAAGCCCAAATATGCATAAGAGTTATTTGCAGTTAAATATGTTGTTGTAGGCAAATACTCAACTCTACCTTTCATATTACTGCAGAAGACTCATTGTTCAAAAATACAATTTATTTTCTGTGGTTTAATTCAGACACTGATTTTGTTTTGTTTTTTAAAACACAGCGGAGATTCTCAATATTCATAGGTATTAACACATTAGTATCTGTCTGTATATCTCCCAAGAGAGCTTATTAAAGTAGGAAAAATATCCCTTATCCACTAATGAGGCTTGATCTCTGTCTAATCTTTTTTTTATACTGACCCCAATTAACATGGTCTTGCTTTCTCTGGCTGATTTGTGGTTTAGCATAGTTGTGTGTTTTTAAGGAAAATATTATGTTGTTTATTAAGCTAATGTGAAAATGTTGTTGTTATTATATAGAATAGTAATTAGAAAATAGATGTATTAGTATAATATGTATATCTATTTATAAAATATTGTAATAAGT